GTGATTTTTTTGTGAGGGGAACATACTAAATGTTTCAACAGAACATTAACCTCTCTTCTTTAGATAATATGATACCTGAAAAAAAACAGATTATTGCTCTGCCAAAACATTTAGTATGCCCCCCCCCAAAAAAGCACTTCATTATTGTATAGGGTATGAAGGGCACTAGCATGAACCGAAAGTTTGGAACTGTTAAGAAGTGCCGAAACATGTAGAGTGCATTTGAGCCTTAAATAAAATCATTTTTATTGTTCACACCAAAGAAGATGTTGTTTTAACTATATTTACTGTCAACTTAAGTTATAGAAATCGACACTATTACTTAACTGCAATTACTGTTGTAATCACGAGTTTAATATTAGAACTGTTATTATAATGTGATTAGCTCGACTTAACGTATAGTACTCTAATAAATAGCAGCTCAAAGGCAAGCTCAAGATATTCCTATGCACAAGAGCAATTTTGAACGTATGATTGTTTACCATTAGAGGCAGCTCTCCAGTTCATACAGGTCTCTAAAGACGTGTAATATCTTGTTGTAAATGTACTCCAACAAAGAAGGTTTTTACAGACTGCTGTCTCAAGTACGTTAAAACTAAACAAAGAAGGTTGTTACAGACTGCTGTCTCATGTACGTTAAAACTAAACAAAGAAGGTTTTTACAGACTGCTGTCTCATGTACGTTAAAACTAAACAAAGAAGGTTGTTACAGACTGCTGTCTCATGTACGTTAAAACTAAACAAAGAAGATTGGTACAGACTGCTGTCTCAAGTACATTAAACCTAAACAAAGAAGGTTGTTACAGACTGCTGTCTCAAGTACGTCAAAACTAAAACTTGAGATTTCTTAGACCCAGATTACCGTAAGCGCTTTTGATGAATGGTATCACAAATCGCTTAAATTTTTGTCGTATTGTAAAACAACCGTAGTTATTTCTTCATTTAATAATGAGCACTTAATCACGATTCTATAAGTCTGACAAATCGAAACTTAAATTAATTTGAAATGCAACTAGTACAAACTTCACAAGTGAGAATACTCCTCTAATAATGTTAATTTATGATAAACATTCACTTTAAAATTGCACCGTTAGTTATTCACTTATAATTCAAAAAATGTTTAACTTTCATGCTTCATCAAGAACCTTAATTTATGAAGCTTATTATTTGATTGCTGCAAAACTCACTAACATTTCTCAGTGATTCCTAAACGTGTTATTCATAGATCAACATTTCATAATTCTAGTAACACAGCGATTGTAAAAAAAAGTCATTTATATTTACTTGAGATAACTTAAACCAAGTACAATCTAGGTTCATAATTATCTTATGAGTCCAGAAAAAATAAAATTAAATAAAGCAGTGGAATTTTGTATACAATTGTCCAGTGACTCAATATTACACCAGTTATTTAATCATCAAAGTTAAATTCAGTTCGTTGCTGAGCAATAAAATGAATTATTATTTATAGTATTTCTTGAACAGAATTTGCCAAAACTTGATAACTTATAGAAAATATGTTCGTTTCACATTTCCTCGAAAGTTGGCAATAACCAAAAATTGTTTTTCTCGTTCCGTACGTTTTTGATCTAAGGTCATGTTGCTTCTAAGCCAAAAACTTCTTATCGCAAGCTTAGTTTTCAAGGTCGAAACATCTTGGAGTTTTAATACGTTTATACGAAACAGTATAGAAAAAGGGAGATTAACTCTTCAGTGTATTAATCTATGTTTCTGTATTTTTACCAACAATGGCTATTTTCTTGTACAGTATGTGATATAGAGTAATGACATATAAATATCAAAATTTGTACAATATGTGATATAGAGTAATGACATATAAACATCAAAATTTGTACAATATGTGATACAGAGTAATGACATAAATATAAAAAGTTGTACAATATGTGATATAGAGTAATGACGTATAAATATTAAAATTTGTACAATATGTGATACAGAGTAATGACATAAATACAAAAAGTTTTACAATATGTGATATAGAGTAATGACGTATAAATATTAAAATTTGTATAATATGTGATATAGAGTAATGACATATAAATATCAAAATTTGTACAATATGTGATATAGAATGACGTATAAATATCAAAATTTTTACAATATGTGATATAGAGTAATGACGTATAAATATCAAAATTTGTACAATATGTGATATAGAGTAATGACATATAAATATCAAAATTTGTACAATATGTGATATAGAGTAATGACGTATAAATATCAAAATTTGTACAATATGTGATATAGAGTAATGACATATAAATATTAAAATCTAGATCTTGTATATCTGAATCGAGCGCTTCTCGTCATAGTGTAAAAATTACATGTTTTTGAAACAATTTTTCTCAACATAAAAATTAAACTTTTAGAATATCTTTATATCTATTTTTACATGAAATATCACGTACTCGGAATAGTACCTTTGAAATTAACATCAGCAACGAGATATGAAATTTAAACTTTTCGAAACCGATTGGGGCTTTATTGAATTTTGCTCACTTTTAATTGCTCGAGACAGAGTTCCTGGTCATTGCTAAAGGAACATTTTTATTTTATATTTACATGTAATTCTTATCAAGCTTGAACACATTAACATATTTTTTCGAAACGGTAACGCCAAACAAAACAGATATCGTAACTCTGTACTGGGCTTTTATAGTAAGATAAGTGATTTATTCAGATGTGAAGTTTACGTTTTGGTATTTCATGGGCTAGTCAGCCAGGTCAGAGGCCTCTAAGATATAGGCATAGTCTAATTTAGAAATGTTCACCAAAGAGACGGCAACCAGTCATCAGCATTCGCCGCGTATGCGGCTACTCATAACCGAACAGCAGGATTGACTGTTACAGTTATAACACTCCCATAGCTGAAGACGCAGAGCGTATTCAGTAGAATATCGTGGCTCAAACCTACACACGCTAACAATTAAACCATAGCCAACCAGATTATATTTAAAATGCCATTTGATATTTTCTAATGTAGGAATAAAAATATACATATACTATAAAGCAATTATAGTGTAGAAAAAACATCAATACTATTTGCTTTTACACATATGTATATCTTATCTTATAAATTACTCAAAATGTAACTGTATAAATGCAAAATATATACAGAAAGTGAGTGTATTAAGTTAAAATTGAAAACCAGTAAATAGCAATGATTTATTTCGTTGCCTTCTCTAGGTGAATTACATTTCAAAGAAACGATGTAAAGCATTTTGAAAGTGAAACGTAAATTATGTTTAAAAAATAAGTAACATAAAAAAAACTGAAATGTTATTTAGTCACTTTCACATATAGAGGTTGATTTACAATGAGTACTTTTAAATGGACAGTCTGACTGGAAAGAAGTAAACGAAAGAGATATTTTAACTGCTTTGCCGTTTAATTCTATTTAAGGACATCCTTCGGAGTCTACCGTCTGTCATCATACAATCTCCACTTACGTTGTCAAGATTTAATCATTTCCACGAAGACTGTCCTTTCAGAAGTACAACAAAAACCTCCTTCAACAGTTTGCTACATTCATGATTGAAAACTATCTTGTCTTTAAACGTTTTGTGAAATAACATAAAACATTTGTTGCCTGAAGCGTTCAGAAGAAATTCTGTAGCAAGTGAAAGCGTATTATAGTTCTTCTGACCAATTTCATAAAATAATTTTCTGAAAGTTTTTTTTTTTAAAAGCTCTTCGAAGTAAAGAGTTAACAAAGCTTTTCAGAGAGAACCTGTAAGAAAGTTGTAGGACCTCAAAAGTATCAGAAGTTCACAACAAAACTTGTAGAGACGTGTTATATGTATATCACTGAAACATATTTGAGTTGAAATGATAACATAAAATTTCAAACAAGTCAACATAAGGTCTTAAGGCTTCACTGGTAATTTTTTTTGAAACATTTTATTGAAAAGTCTGAAAGAAGAAGATTTATCTCTCCGAATTTCAAAAATACAAGTAAAAGTCACATTTGAACGTTTCGGTCAGCAAGCATCGCACAAAAGTCTGCCGCGTAGACAGTGTTAGTCGTTTTGTTGGTCTTATCATTCGCTGTGCACTCTTCGTTTTGCCTTTACAGTTCACTGGAGCTACTTCTTTCACGACTTTTAAAGTGAAATAGTGTGATAAAAAATGTGAGCGTCTGAAAAGTAAAGTTATTTATGTGCAAAGTCGTGTAATTGCGTTATACAAATCACAGTTGAAAGTAGGAGTTAAAAAGTCAATCAAGCGCTGCTTAATTCTTTAGTTAATTCGAGGTCATTACCTTTCCGTGTTCCCAGACAATGTTTTGATGACTTTTAACTTATTTTTTCTTCTTTTTATAGTAAGTACAAAGTGATTATACACAGAAAAACTCGATTTATCAGTAAAGAGATAGAGATATACATCCAGCATACAATTCTTGAGAAACAGGTTGTGTCATCCACGGTTCATCTTCAGAGAACTCTTCAAGGCAACTTTCCAAAAAGAAAGTACGTTTTTCTGGTTGGACGAGTATGTATTACGTAGCTTGCATCGCTTACCTGATTGTAATATTTGAGGTGTTAGCGACCCGCGTGGGATCCAGAAAGTCAAGTGGGAGGAGCCACAATACATCTTTGAGGGACGCGTCATTGCACTCCTGTCTGTAGTCGCTGGCACATTTTTGACCTTACTATACCTCCTCCAAGGTCCGTGTATTTTGAAATTGAAACTCCCTACCGGACATATGCATGACCAGTGATACATATCTACTCTCCCACTAAGACTAGTTTTCGAATAGTTATAAACAATGTTCGGACGTCAACTGTAACTCACTATTACGTCTACACCAAAGAAGAACGACCGTTGTTAACATCTTTTATCCCCACCCACCCACCCACCTCTCAAGTTGGCTTAAACCTACTTGTCTTATAAGTTTCTAGAGAAGACTGTGTCTGTAACATATCCTAGTTTTCACCTATTTAACAAAGTTTTCAAAATATTACCATATAATAGGTTAGAGCCTTCTGCTACGCATCATCATGAAATTAATAGTAAGTATTTAATAATTTAATATACAATTTCGACATTATTTATGTAAATGCTGATCTGATAGTTTCGATTTACTTAAAAAACTAATCAGGATAAAACTGTTATTCATAAATTTGAATTGTAACTGTTCACTGTAAAATACTGAGAGATCCAGACTGATATTGAATACATTTATAGCCTAAACTTTGAGTAGTATCTTATTTTCATACTTCAGAAGCAAAGAAGGCTATATATTGAGGTAGTAAGGTTTGGTATTTTATTGGAAATAATTTTATGTACATACTATATTCATAGTTACTTATTCTAATCACGTTGGATATCGTTGTAATTAACTTAACGATTTTTATAATTATTTTTTTTCCCTGTAATACAAATATTTATCTTTCATTTTGGTTTCGTGGAAGTTATAAAACTTTGAAGAGAGCAATGAATGTTTTGTTACCTTTTACAGGAAGTGCCTATGTGTGTAAGTACAGTTTTAATATATACTTTAACAACCGTTGCAATTTTTTTATTCATTAAACACACATGAAATTTGCAGACTTGCTTGTATGTTAGATGTTTAAATATATTGATACATATTAAGTTTGTTTAAAAATAATAAGGAATGAATTTTTCAACCAGCACCCAAATAGTGAAGCCATTAAGATGGTTTATAAAAGGGTGTGATAATTGTCCTTAGCAGTCTGACATGGCTTGATGATTAGGGAGATCGACTCGCAATCTGTGGCTTGCGTGTCCGAATCCCGTCACTGTGTATGCTCACATTGTCAGTAGTTAGGCCGTTATATTGAGATATTAAATCCTATTTTTTGGTTGGTAAAGAGAAGCCTAAAAGTTAGCGGTGCCTTTTTTTTACTCTATCACTTCTAAATAAGAGACGGTTAACACAAATAGCCCTTGAGTAGCTTTGTGCGAAATACAACAAACAGTCACTATCGTTTAAATTTACAATAATGTTTTCAGTAGTCTGAAATCACAATAATTCGATTGAGATGTATAAGCTTTGTAAACATTTAGCACGGTACTACAATTTGCTTTGTTATTCTTTCAGTGCACTAAGACGTTATATATATTCATGACTAGGTGGTTAGGGCGCTCGACTCGCACTCTGAGGGTCGCGGGTTCGAATCCCTGTCACACCAAACATGCTCGCCCTTTCAGCCGTGGAGGCGTTATAATGTCACGGTCAATCCCACTATTCGTTGATAAAAGAGTAGCCCAAGAGTTGGCGGTGGGTGGTGATGACTAACTGCCTTCCCTCTAGTCTTACACTGCTAAACTAGGGACGGCTAGCGCAGATAGCCCTCGTGTAGCTTTGCGCGAAATTCAAAACAAACAAACGTTATATATTTAACAAAGCTAGAGTATCTTCAAAGAAGATTTAACAATTCCATTCGTATTTCAGATTATGTGTTCCCTTCTTGTGTGGGAACATGCAGTTCTTGGCGTAGAAGACTTGAACAAACGACCAGATACCCCTAGCGACAGCTTTGGATCTACAAGCTCTAGCGATTACGGTCGTTACCCTTACGACAGTTATGGCGACCGAGATACAAAAAACAGCACATACGACGATTCAAATAGTGGAAAATATAACAATCCTTACAACAATAACTATGACTACGAAGGAGGCTATGGCGATAGGTTTGATTACAGGGATCGATATAATCCCTCGTATCATTCTCGTTACGATCCTGGTAGCCGTAACTATGGAGAGGGATACGCATACTATCTTAACGAACCCAGGTATCCTCCTTACTGGAATAATCCAAATTATCATAGAAACGATTGGAGTCGATATAACCCTCCACACCATTCACGTTACAGACCTAATAATGATTATGGAAACGATTTTCCGCTTTACCTAAATGAGCCCAGACCAAGGTTTCCTCCTCATCGGTACTACAATAATTATCAAAGAAATTATCCTTATCTTCCTATATATGATTATCCTAATGATTATCGCATTTATTATAACCTTGGAACAGGGGAATTTAGAGTATCAGATGAAAACAGATATTTTATGCGTCGTCACCCCGATTTCCCTCCACCTGGGATTCATCGATCTCGGTACGGAACTCTCAGAAATAATTTAGCTTATGAGCCACATTTCCCTCCCCGTTACCATGGTTACGGTAACTATGGGCCAGGTTATCGACGAAGCTACAGTAAAGAAGAGACGAGTGTAAAAGTTCTCACCGGAAACGAGTGACTTTTTTTACTATCTTAAGTTAAAGGTGAGTTTATTAGGCCTATACGAAAAAGTTATTTTCAAACTTAACTGGTAATGCAGCTTAAGGAAATTTATATTTTAAAATGTGAGAAGAAAAAGAAGCAAAAAAAAAGATCATAACGAATGCAAATAAAGCATGAAAAATCTAAATGCAAAATTTTCCATTTTAATATGTAGATGAACATTTTGAGAAACTTGACGACATTCAGTATAAGAGTGATTGAATATTTAATTATACTACGTAATATATATATATATGTGTGTGTGTGTGTGTGTGTGGGTGTATATATATAATTCCATATGTTTTTATAAGAATGTTTTTAATGTGAAGTTTTAGCCGGACACAATATAAAATGATAAAGCATAATCTCTAACACTATTGTATCATGTTTTGGGATGTGTGGAAATCTGCAAACGTTAGTTGATCTTTGTGACGCTACGTGGCATTGAAATAAAATGATGGGTGCAGCAGTTGAATTGAACGAAGTAAAATCGATGCAACAAACTCACTTTTCTGTGTTACGTCTCATTTCTAACCAACCAGAGCGGAATCTAAATGAAACATTTTCTGGTCGAGAAAACGCTACTACGAAAAGACTTTAGGAGCCTTATAATGAAGAGAACTAGATAGTTTAAACTACTTTGCGCAGTGAAACGAAAATGCGCCAAATATTATTATAAAGTTTTACATTTCGTGAAACACGATGACGAAAATATTGTTACAAAGTAAACATGTCGCTCCATTCACGGATCTTTGCTGTGTTTTCTTTTCTTATTTCATTATAGTCTTCCCAAAAATTCATCAGTTCAAAATTAGGTTGTTTTTAAGACTGTCATTAAATTATTTTTAAATGCATCACACAGGGAACATTAACTTTGGCGAAGACCATGAAAGTTGAAAAAATAGAAACCACTAGATCTATTGACGCTCTAACACTTAATTTTACTTACGAAATAAAACTCTGCAGATTAAACGAAAGAATTTTCTTAATTTTACTTACGAAATAAAACTCTGCAGATTAAACGAAAGAATTTTCTTAATTTTACTTACGAAATAAAACTCTGCAGATTAAACGAAATAATTTTCTTAATTTTATTTACGAAATAAACTCTGCAGATTAAACGAAAGAATTTTCATCAAGCACGAAGTACCTCTTCCAGTCTCAAATTTAGAATAAATTATTGTATTCAAAAGCATCATATTCTATTTCAAAGTTATCCGTATTTTCATCCATTATTGAAGAGATTTTTACATGTTTAATTAATAGCAAAGCCGAATTTACATTACATTATTCTCAACCAAACAATAATCTTAGTCATTTGACGAAATTACTTTGGATTTTTTTAAGGCCCCATTCTTATTACACTCGATGAGAAATGCAGTTCATTGCCATCCTGTTTAACTTGTTCTACCTTAAACGCTTAACTATCGAGGTAGAGGTCAGTATGCGTCTCACTGTAATTTGGTAGTTTTCACAGTCCCTTTTTCTGCCTTAGGCATCCAGTGTTAAAGAAATCAATGTCTTTTTCATGACGTTCCAAAACTTGCAAAGTATTTTTTACGTAAGTACTAATAGAAGCAAACAGACATTTTAAAAGTCACTGTACTTAAGAAGTATAGTGCAATAAACTTTAGTGACTCATGTCACAAACATGAAATGTAATGTCATTTTTTTTTCAGATAAATACACTGGCTAAATATTGACTTGAAAACCTGAAGCCAAGACAAAATATTTAACCTAAAGATCATTAGTGATAATCATTATTTTTTACTGTATGATCACATTATTCTAAGAACTGAGTTAAATGTTGTTTTTTTACGAAATATGAGTTTCTCTATTGCAAATCCGTAAAAAAATGAATGCAATTTAAACCCAGTAAATTGGATATGTTTCATTACCTTTTCACATGTTATTTTGCTTTCGGTTTTCAAAGCTTTATTTTTGACTTGATATGTACAGGATTCACTTCAGTAAATTTACTTCTTGAAACTCTCATTATTATGTAGTTTTATTTTGTTTGCTAATTTAATCATCGTGTTTTTATTTTTCAGCAACTAGTTAATACCTAGTTTCACATCAAACCCGTACAGTATTTAACATCAAGAAGTATTCCTTGGGCTCTTGTATTGATGTTTGTTGTATTATGCATTTCCTTTCAATGCTATATTTTCTGGTAAGAAATGTGTCTTAGGATAATTTGTGCTTGCGAGATTTTAGGTAATTTTGTGTATACGTTGTTGAGGAATATTTTGTTTTTACAATTTATATTTTTGCTATGTTTGGGTTTTTGATAGCATAATGTTGTACAAAATAATAAAATTATGAAAAGTGTATTTGTTTAATTTTCTTCGTTTAATATCATTCTTTACTACAGATGAATAAAAAGAAAAAAATATACTTCACTTTTATTGGATGGCATTCGATTGAAAATTTCCATTAATTAAATGTTGAATAGTTGTTTAATGAACATCAAAGTGTGATTATTTTCATATTTTACTTTTTTTGCTTGGCTTCGATCATTTTTGACTCATACTGTTTTTATGAAGTATAGAATACTTTAGGTTTAAATACATTCATTGATTCATATTCTATTTTGAGAAAATGGAAGAAATGAAATGTAAAAGATAAACTAAAAAGCAGGGAATGTCTTGGAGTCTTTATAAATAGAAATAAACCAGTCCAAAAAAAGGCTTATATTTTTTTTAACAAAAGCCCCATACACTCGCAAGTCGTTTCTACAAAACTGGAAACTCAAAGTTAAATGAATTGAACTTTATTTTAAAGAGAAAAGATTTTAAACTGACCCCCTCCCTTAAAAAATAGATAAAGGAAAATTAATTTTTAGTGGAAAAAATCTACTGTGTAGTAGTTAAACATTTGGTATTGTATAACACAATGTGTCCTAACCATATTGTTTGGTTTTCTCTTTGAATACTCTGGTGCAAACAAATTTATTCAAGTAAACCAATAATCATGTTTTTTTGTTCAATGCTACCGATTGAAACGAAAACAGACTAGTTCATTACAGATATTTATATGGAAGTAAAAGTATATAAAGCGAATTGTGCGATGCTGGTTCTTCAATAAATTTCGTTTATTTTTAATGATTTTACAAATATTTATATGATATATAGATTAAATTCATACAAGATCTAATTTCACCGAATATATTACAAAAAATAGCGTATTATAAATAAGGAGCTCCAAACTGTAAAGTGGACACAATAATGCCATATAGTGGCACTGTTGGCAACGTGACGTCACAGAGTCAATGTACGAAAGCTCAAAATTATTACAAATTACTCTAGAAGTTTTACAAAATCCTAAACAATACAAATAATTTTACACCTTTTTAAATAAAGAAGAACAAATAAATTTTAAATGTATACTGTGAAAATATTGCATCGTTTTATTTTGTCAAACAGATAATACAGTTTATATAATTCTTTTTTTGAAGAGAGGAAGAAAAGCATTTAACTTTTGATCTATTCTGGACTCAAATTAATATTTCATGGGTTTCTAAAGGATTTGTAAACTGACAATATAGTCTCTTTTTGATTTAAAAATATTCAGACATTATCGGTTTCATTCAATTATGTAATTTTCAGATGTTTTGTTTTTTGTTTCATATTTGGTGCAAGTACAAAATAAAAATGATTGGCGAGGAATTTGTTGAATTGAGAATGACTTTGTTTTCTCCGTATATATATAAATAGAGTTGTAATTTTATGAATATTTGATCTTATATATGAAAAGGGTAAAGCAACGAGAAACTTCACTATTAATCTTTATTTTAACTTTTTACTTGAATTAATTTTGCTGACGAGCAAATATATTCATGATATTTAACTACCAATATTTCATAAACATCGTAAAAATAATGTTTGACTTATGTCAACGGCTTAGATCTTTCACTGCTATGTTTATAGATAAATAACTCTCTTAGCACCAGGTTTGTTTTTACATACGTAATAAAGCACAAAAATGACACGTTTTTGTATTTCATTAGTTATGTGATACTCGATGGGGAAAATCATATAATAATAAAATAATAGAATAATTGCTTGGGCGAGGAAATTATAAAATCTAGAATAAAAAATGATAGTGGTGAAAAAATGGAGACGTTAATCAAAATTAAATCAAGGAGGTGAATAAAACATTTACTCCTTAAAAGTTCAAGATTTTACCTAAAAAGTCGGTATAGTTTCTGGATAAAAATTCAACATAGCTAGCAGGGGTTATATGCAGTGACTAGCTTTCTGAGAAAACAGGATTTTAACATAAAACTCTATGTAACACAGTTCACTTTTTTACAGTTGTATACGGTTAGATATGTAACACTTAGGATGTTATTCATCCTTTTTATTAAAGTATCATTTCTTTAACATTGGTCTACTGTTGTAAGTTCATAATAATATTGCTGTAACTGCTTAACTTTATTAGGTTCATGTGATTGTGCTAGCAGTTAAACCGCAGCTCAGATAACTTCTGTATTTGTTGTTTCTTCAAAGTTTTCGTGTTACTATTTATACTTTTTACAATGGAGTTGTGCTTTGTAATTCTTTTCAAATTAAGGTAATTCTTTTTTTATTATGCTTATATTGTTATATATATGCATCACTAACCCACAGGTCTCGAACATCGTAAACTCTGGTTCATTAAATTGTTAAGCCTTGTTTTGATATTGTCATAATTATTACTGAAGCGTCAGTACACTCTTAAAACGAATGGATTAATTTTCCAAATACAATCATACCCAATGATGGCATCATGTAAGAGATGCTTTCATCATTTAGCTAAGCACGTAAAACGCACTACACTATACGTGTATGGGCATTAAATTGTCACTGTGTTATTAATTTAAAATACAACCAAAGTGTTTGCTTTAATTATATAGACTAAAGCTTTGTTAGACGGTATATATATTTTTGTTCTTTAAGGAATCTGTTAAATATTATTGATTATAATTTCAAAGCTTATTTATTTTGAATAGAGATGAACATGTGAATCATTAATATATTTTCTTAAAATAACTCTTCATCATTCCTCTTATATTCGCTTTCCCTTGGATACGAATGGAAGTTGGAATAGGATGAAAGTTACATAATCTTTTGTTTCTCATCGTACAGCCCAAATGATTATTTCTGGTGTTGAACGCAGGCTTTAAGAGCCTTAATTTTCGAATGTATTAAGTTCTGTTTGTTTCTATGGTCAAACACTATTAAACTAGTGATAAGAATTATTAATCCGAGGAAGTTGTTCGTTTTCAATTATCTACGGTTTCCAAGCACTTCCTGTGTATAAAGACATATTTAAAATCAGGTTTCTTGGAATCCATCTTTCAAGCCAGGAAGAGGAATTCACCTAAAGAATAATTATCAAAAAGTTAATACAACAATTAGAAGTGAAAATATTAATAATGATAAATATAATGATAACATCAAATATTTCAGGGCAGATAATTAGATGGAAGGGAAAACAAATTTGGTAAACCTAAAGAATAAGAATAATCACAGTGTTTATTCAATAGTGTAGAAGGAAACAACTTGATCACAGTGTTTATCCAACAGTGTAGAATGAAACAACTTGATCACAGTGTTTATCCAATAGTGTAGAAGAAACCGCTTGATCAAAGTGTTTATCCAACAGTGTAGATGGAAACAGCTTGATCACAGTGTTTATCCTATAGTGTAGAAGGAAACCACTTGATCACAGTGTTTATCCTATAGTGTAGAAGGAAACCACTTGATCACAGTGTTTATCCAATAGTGTAGAAGGAAACCACTTGATCACAGTGTTTATCCAATAGTGTAGAAAGAAACCGCTTCATCCTGAAAAATTAATACAATATTATAACTAAAAACCGATATAAAAATACCACCTTATTGATTTTTATGCGTTGCTTCATGGTATATTTAAATATGTCTCCCATCTCCGATTAAATGTGAGTGTAAAGCTAACGAATTTTGATTTGGTCCGTCCTGTTTGACTTATTAGCCTAAGTCTCCAACTGCAAATAGAACCATAACTTTTAGAAACAAGTTTCTCGACTGATGCTGGCAATATTCGGCTGATAGAAAACCAAAATAGAAACGTTGAATCAGGTCTAATTCTGTTACTTTTCCAACTCTACCGGTAAATATCAAATTCAAAGTTAGAAAATATAACCTTGATAAACTTTAAAATCTAGATTATAATTATTGGTTGGATTCCACGCAAATTTTAGTGTACCTCGTTTTCGCGTTTTGGAATAATAATGATATAAAAAGTGGAAAACCATCAAGTTAAGTAGTACTTTGTGCAATCTACAAAAGTTGTAAAGATTAACAGTTTTATAAGGAGAAATTAAATAACGAAGAACAAACCTAAATTTACAAAAATATGAATATGATTATCCCGACTGGTTTCGACGTATCACGTGCATCATTTTCAAGGGTAACCGAGTGTGTGTGTACAGCGACATCTGTTAAAATTATGTCTTAACAGCTCCTATTTTCAATTCAACAATGAACATCATCAACAGAATCAAGGAATCGGCATGGGAAGTCCTCTATCGACTCACATCTTTGACATTTTCATGGATGACTTTGAAAACAAACTGTTCAACCAAGTACTACTAAAACCGTATTTCTACACAAGTTATGTTTGTTTGTTTGTAATTAAGCACAAAGCTACACAATGGGCTATCTGTACTCTGCCCACCACGGGTATCGAAACCCGGATTCTAGTGTTGTAAGTCCGCAGACATACCGCTGTGATACTGGGGGGGGGGGCACAAGTTATGTGGATGACACTTTCACTGTTATACTCAAAGACAACTGTTGGTTAAGGAAGTTTCATGACTTATTGAATTCCACTGACTCTTTCATACAGTTCACTTACGAAGCCGAAAGTGATAATAAAATTGTCTTTCTAGATGTTTTAATCACAAGAAATTCCGATGACACTTTTTGAAACGGAAGTTTATAGAAAAACAAACATTGTTAGTCTATTCCCCCACAATAGATCAATTCATGCATAGAAAAAAAAATGGTGTTTACAAAACATTAACTTGGCGTATGCTCAATACCTGCTCAAACCAAAAAGGAATCAAACAAGAAATCAACTACTTAAAAATGTAGCTGTATAACGGGGATTTGATTCCAATTTAATCAACAGGCTGTTCTACAAAATCCGAAAGAGTTTTACAAATAAATACAAGTAAATAATGTGGAAAAAACAAAATCTACATGTTTGCCT